TGCAAGGATCTGTAGCCTTGATATTATTCAGGGAGATCCTTGTGACCTGCTGGTAGATGACGTTGGATTGGTTATTGGCTAGTTTGTCAAAGAGGGGGACCACCATCTGTCTCCATCAGTGATGGGAGTAACAGAGTGTAAAGTAACGGCGTTACTAACACGCAAGCAACAGGAAACGCTAAAAGTGCGTAAAAGCTGCCCTGTGCTCACTCCACAGGGGAACTACGGAGAGCTGGAACAATCAAATGTTAGCCTATATGGAGAAAGGGAGAAATCAGGATGATGGATGGATGGATGGATGGATGGATGGATGGATGGATGGATGGATGGATGGATGGATGGATGGATGGATGGATGGATGGATGGATGGATGGATGGATGGATGGATGGATGGATGTTGCAGTATCTACAACAACCCAAACACACAGGATTTCAGAATTAGACATCCCCAGTTATTAATTTTATACACTCACCAGATCTGAACGCCCTGTTAAAAGAACGTCACAGCCATTAATAAAGAGGTAATGCAGCCTGATGATATTTACACCACATCAGATACCATTCCCCCCATGTTAAGAAGAGGGAAAACGCTTTCTGACGGGGTTTATAGGCCCATCAGATAGCGTTCCCCCTGATGTCATTTAAGTAGAGTTGCAATAAATGCAAAACTCTCTGCAGGTACTTGTCTTTGTCATCCGCTCTATTCAGCTGGCCTTTGAAGCTCATGGCGAGAAGGTGGGGGCTGGTTGGTGAGGGTTACGGGGCAGAGCAACGCAAAAGTAACACAATAGTTACTTTTATTAGTAATTAGTTACTTTTATTGTGGAGTAGCTCAGTTAGTAACTCAGTTACTTTTTGGGAGAAGTAACTAGTAACTAAATACTTTTTCAAAGTAACGTGCCCGACACTGGTCTCCATTGCTGTTCAAGATCTAACTATCCCTCTGCTAACAACAGGTTCTTTTGGGCATTCAACAACCACCCTCTAAGCTAAATATTTTCCCACACCTGTACCTCTGTGAAAATATAGTTAAATAGATAGAAATAAGATCACAATAAGAAAAAGCTCACTGACACTTGTCTATCCAGATCAAACGACTCAGCAAGCAACCTGCTTTAAAATCGCCATGGCTATGATCGGCATACTGTTGGAACACCAGAGCCGGGTTGCCCTGCTAAATTACGTGACACCATTAAATGCAACGTATGAACGTCAACACATCACGCCAGTCGCTTCTGATCTAATAAGCTGAAAAAGCTCTTTTTACACTAGATAAACATTAACCAGCTCTGGTAGGAGGAATTCAGAGACAAAAGAGTGAAAAAACAAAGCACTCTTATTACACCCTGGCTTCCTTACATGTTGCTCTCCATTGTTTACTTTCTTGATTTCTGTCACACTTGTGACATCAATAACACTAACCCAGCATGATGGTGTCACCAGACATGCAGCTGCAGGGGCACAGACGCCATGCAGCTTGCCAGCAAGGGGTTAGACAGGGCTTTTTTGCCAGTGGGAAGGGAGCAAAATGCTGATTGTTAGCAGCTTGACCCATGTTTCAAAAGAGTTTAACGTGCTGTTTTCAGTGGGAAAGAGGCTTAGGATAAGGCATGATATGTACATTTACTTTTACAAGTAAAAAACATTTGCATTACCAAACTGTATGTATTTGTGATTCTCAAAATTGTCTCAAAAAGTGCCAGGCTGTCCAGTTAGACTCGACTAATAACTATAACCATTCTAAACAATAATCACGCTGGAAACAAGACTTCAAGCTAGCTCCGTGAGTGAGGGATGGCATCTGGATATTTAATTTTTTCTGTCATCCTGTATCATTATAACCAGTAAGCATAGGATTCTCTCTGTGTTTGACAGCATTCGTGATAGAAACATGTGGCCATATTTAGGTCTTGATAATGACTAGTGAAGCATTAGAATAATCAGCACTGAGGGATAACTAAGCTCAATTTTCCCCGGTTTCATGGTCGATGTGGCAGGCCATAGCTATGGCTGTAAGGTCTGAAGTATATATATATATATATATATATATATATATATATATATATATATATATATATACACTCACCGGCCACTTTATTAGGTACACCTGTCCGACTGCTCGTTAACACTTCATTTCTAAGCAGCCAATCACATGGCTGCAACTCAGTGCATTTAGGCATGTAGACATGGTCAAGACAATCTCCTGCAGTTCAAACCGAGCATCAGTATGGGGAAGAAAGGTGATTTGAGTGACTTTGAACGTGGCATGATTGTTGGTGCCAGAAGGGCTGGTCTGAGTATTTCAGAAACTGCTGATCTACTGGAATTTTCACGCACAACCATCTCTAGGGTTTACAGAGAATGGTCCAAAAAAGAAAAAACATCCAGTGAGCGGCAGTTCTGTGGGCGGAAATGCCTTGTTGATGCCAGAGGTCAGAGGAGAATGGCCAGACTGGTTCGAGCTGATAGAAGGGCAACCGTGACTCAAATAACCACCCGTTACAACCAAGGTGGGCAGAAGAGCGTCTCTGAACGCACAGTACGTCGAACTTTGAGGCAGATGGGCTACAGCAGCAGAAGGCCACACCGGGTGCCACTCCTTTCTGCTAAGAACAGGAAACTGAGGCTAAAATTTGCACAAGCTCATCGAAATTGGACAATAGAAGATTGGAAAAACGTTGCCTGGTCTGATGAGTCTCGATTTCTGCTGCGACATTCGGATGGTAGGGTCAGAATTTGGCGTCTACAACATGAAAGCATAAATCCATCCTGCCTTGTATCAACGGTTCAGGCTGGTGGTGGTGGTGTCATGGTGTGGGGAATACTTTCTTGGCAGTCTTTGGGCCCCTTGGTACCAATTGAGCATTGTTGCAACGCCACAGCCTACCTGAGTATTGTTGCTGACCATGTCCATCCCTTTATGACCACAATGTACCCAACTTCTGATGGCTACTTTCAGAAGGATAATGCGCCATGTCATAAAGCTGGAATCATCTCAGACTGGTTTCTTGAACATGACAATGAGTTCACTGTACTCAAATGGCCTCCACAGTCACCTGATCTCAATCCAATAGCGCATCTTTGGGATGTGGTGGAACGGGAGATTCGCATCATGGATGTGCAGCCGACAAATCTGCGACAACTGTGTGATGCCATCATGTTAATATGGACCAAACTCCCTGTGGAATGCTTCCAGCACCTTGTTGAATCTATGCCACGAAGAATTGAGGCAGTTCTGAAGGCAAAAGGGATCCAACCCGCTCCTAGCATGGGGTACCTAATAAAGTGGCCGGAGAGTGTATATATATATATATATATATATATATATTTATATTTATATATATATATATATATATATATATATATATATATATATATATATATATATATATATATATAAGAAGGTTCTCTGGCTAGACAAGACCGAGTGAGCTTCTTAAAATTAAGAACAGGGTAGCTGATTAGCATAAGTGGGAATACTGTATGTATGGAGTTAAATATGGGGCAGTCCTCAAAGAAAGCGGTTAGATGCTATACAGGCTCGAGACAAAGGCCCTGAACATAACACCTGAGCTTTTTAAATTGGTCAAAGAATATCAAAGATAAATCCAGCTGAGATCAAAGAGTTGTTATTTAGTTAAATGTCCTTAAACTAATTCTTAACCAGAGTATATGATAACAGGTTTAATTTGGTGTTTATGTAATTTCTAGCCTTAGTCGGACTCAGTTTGAGCTTGTTTTGAAAAGGATACTTAAAATACTGGAATATCATAAAAAATGAAAGCAACTATCATTTACCCTTTCACTTTGTAATCATGCAACACTTTGTCTTGCTGTTTCCTATTAATATTAATTTATTATACTAAAGGTTAAGGTCAAGCAACAAAACATAAATAGCTTTAGAAGGTACAGTTCTTGCAAGTTATTGTATGAAACTTAAACATATTAAACATGAACTAACCCTTTTTATTGGCATATTTTGCTGTAATAACATGCTACAAGTGGTAGAATTAAAAGGAAACATTGTGAAAGGCTTTAGATTTTAGAAATTTTTAGTTTTATGTTTGTAAGAACATATTGCATGCTCTAGGTATCTTGAAAATGCCTTTTCACAGTGCTTACTGTCAGAGCCAGTTTTCCAAGCCAGCTTTTTGAAGCATTGTTTTGTTAAATCCCAAGTGGGAGGAGGTAAGGATTAATTTGTTGCATCTGTCAGTGCCATGCAGGCAATGCTGATAGTGTTCATGCCAGTGTGAGTCCTTCCATCACCACCGCCCTCTGTTGTAGCCACTGAGACCCTTTAGTTAAGCTGCCAAAACAACCCTTTCAACTGGATTGACACATTTCTTCTGTGTCATTGTTGTGCCCTCTTGGCTTTCCACCCGGACTGTCTCCTCTGACTGTGAGGTCCAGAATCTGCCTAGAGTTTTCCGGTTCTTTATGAATCCCTTTTGACCTGCAGACTTTCAGAACTTCCGCTGAATGTGATACAGACTCGTGGTTCATGAGGCTCAATGCATTGATTTGACATGGGAGTATGAGAGTGAGATTGTGTTTGTGAAAACAGCTCATGGCCCTCTAATGCAATATGGCATACAGCCGTCACATATATATGAGTCACAAGCTTGCGTGCTGCCTTCAGAGTCATTAGAGAATGTTTTTATTGCACTGTTTTCATTTAGTAGCTTGCAAACTTGAAGACAGAAACTTACAGATGACATCCCCTTTAAAAGTTTTGTCTTCAATTGAATTAGAATAATTCATAGCTCTTGTCACTGTTAAATAAGTGGCATGTTTGCTCTTTCCTTTTAAACACATCTTTAATGTGAGAGGTTATTATACAAGGTTTAGTTTTACTTGGTAAAAATCCAATTGGTCATAGGAATGTAATAGTTTTCTTTTTAGATTATTTTCATATAGCTTCATCAGTGTCTAAGGCTTGCATCACATCATAATCTATTACCAACAAACTGATGGACTGTGAACTGACTGAAGCTTACCTTTTCTGTGGATTGTGAAGTGCCAAAGAAGATTGGGATGAATGCAAGCCAAATAATACAGGTTGTGTACATCGTAAAACCAATAGGTTTGGCCTCATTGAACGTCTCAGGTACTCCTCTTGTTTTGATGGCATAGACTGTACAGGTGACCATGAGCAACATGCTGTAGCCCAGCAAACAGATAAGGGATAGATCCGAGATGTCACACTTGAGTACACCACGAGCTAAAACAGGGTTAGATGTCCTCTGGTCTTCATAGTCGATAATGGCCTTGGATGGATCCATCCCAAACCAAATGCACACTCCGAGCAGCTGCACTGAGGCCAGTGTAAACGTGATGATAAGTTGAGAGGCTGGAGAAATGAACCTGGGTGCACTAACAGACATAGTACCCTGCTCAAAGATGCGGTAAATACGATTGGTTTTGGTGAGCAAGGCAGCATAACTAATGCTCATCCCAAGGCCCAAGAAGATCCGGCGGAGGGAGCAGATTCCGACATCAGGGGTAGAAATCATCAGGAATGTTGTGGCATAGCAGAGGAAGATTCCAGTTAGCAGCACATAGCTCAGCTCTCTGCCTGATGCCTTCACAATTGGAGTATCATTGTGACGGATGAACGTGACCACCACAAACAAAGTGGCCATGATGCCAAGGACAGCAATGAGCACAGGGATGACAGCCCAGGGGGAACTCCATTCCAGTTTAACAATGGGGATTGGAACACAGCCAGTGTGATTCTCGTTGGGACGCAAATCAAAGCGACACATTTTACAGGTGTATGTGTCTGCCTGATATTGATAACCATCACAGCGCTCACAATGCCAACAGCAAGGAATGCCCTTCACAATCTTCTTGCGCTCGCCTGGTTGACAGGGTTGACTGCAAATTGAGGACGGGATCTGACGGACTCCACCCGGCCACTGCATCGAACGCACCTAAAGAGAGGAGAGAAGCATTCATATAGATAACTATAGAAAAGGAACAAGATAAAAACTTTGAAAAGATTGTTATACTGCAGTGGAAGGGTGGTATTTTTCCTGTAATTATAGAGATATGAAGGTAGTGATACTTTATTGATCCAGAAAGACCCTAAAAAACTTTGAAGAACAAGGTTGATCAAGGAGACAAAACCTTCAAGTACTCAAGTATATACTTAGTTTTGAGCATTTACTTTAGCAGTCATTGCAAAGGACCAGACTATATATCACATCAGTACTCACTCTACAAAAAGAAAAGGGTTCCGGTGGAAGGTGAAATTATGTGAAGGTTAAAAGGTTAGAAGAAAATTAAACTGGTTGTTTTCTCCACAGGGACATGATCTCAGTGCCTTTCTCCTTTTTTGACTTTTATGAAGAAAACAACTGTGTCAAAAATCAATCAGAGGAGTAAAAGACAAATTTCCTTTTTTCAGATAGTGGATTACCTCTCTTACAAGCATGCTTACAAAGAATAAAATCCCTCAATCCAACAGTGTCTTTCCTTCTTAGTACTATCAGTTTTATTCAATTGTGGCTGTTTGTTCAAAGCTAGTAAATTTCTCTTTAAATGTTTAATTAAGAACTCAAAGAACACTAATTAAAAAATGCCTGCTTAAGAATCAGTACTGCCAGGTTACACAGCAGGTTCTAGCTTCAAACCTCACAGCGTTTCTTTTCACTTCTACAACATGTCAGTGAGTAAGAAATAAAAAAGCTTCTCTCAATCTGTTGTTAAGTTTCCCTCCTGCCTTTTGAAGACCTCCTCTGCTTTAGAAAAACAAGAATTATTGTTTCCGTTCTTATTTGTAAATTGCTATGATTTTATGATGTTGCCACACAATATGGTTGGTTGTTTTGTTTTGTCATTTCATCACTTATGGTTTCTTGAGAGATTTCTATTCAACTTGTCTGTCTTTAGGCCCTTTTGACTTTCTTTTCATCACTGTTTGCCCTGTTTTGATTTAAAGCCGCCTTTGAATTTCCATACCTTTGAAGATATGACTAAGCACTATCTAATGATGTTGGAGCAGATTTTGGCGTGATGGTTAAAATCAAAAAGGGAATTTTTTGGAACTTGGACAGACATTTGTATAATATGTCTGTGAAAAGGAAATAAAAGGGTAAAGGAAAGTGCTTACATTCAGGTGCAGCTGATCTGTCCAGTTACCAATGACTTTATATTCAGCTGTTCGGTTTCTAATCTGGTATTGGTAGATCTCATAGCGCCCTGGGGCATCTCCATTTTCATTGAAGAGCACTGGGTTTCCAGCTATACCTAAAGGAGAGAACAATAATCATAATTTACTGTACAGTTGTTCATTTATGCATAGTGAGCATTGATCTGTGAAAATGAAAGGTGCTATCACTCTTGTCAAAGCATTTTGTTATTCCACTACATTACAACATAATCAGACTCTTAGAGGTTTTCCATTAAACGTGGATCAAATATTGAACACTTTGGGTGCACCAAAGTTAGAAGAAATACCCTTTTTATCTTTGAAGGCAACAAATATATTTTTTTTTACTTGATTTATGTTGAAAAACAAATTGTAATGCTGTATAGGAGATAAAATATTAACTATTGAAAACCAAATTTCTTCTTCATTACCACCATGGTTTATCTAGTCTGGCTCTGCATTTCCATACCACATCCCATATCTCTAATCACCACAGTGACTGAAAGGTCTACTCCATTGTGCAAACTTCCACGTAGCTGTTTCTGTCAACCAAAAGGTCAATCTGCAAATGTCTTTGAACAGGAAAGGATTGTGAGAGCAGATAATAACATGCTTCATTTGATGAAATGTATTAAAAAAGCTAAATTCAGCTGAGCTCGTAAAAAATATGTCGTTCACAGAACCCTTAATTTAGCTCTATAAAGTTTCCTCCCAAAAATCTCAAACAACCAGTGTTAAATTTCAAACATAAAATCCTCCTAATAAAAAAAGACAAAGTTTTTTTAAAGGTGTTTACCAACAAAAGTGATGCACCAGATCTTTTTATTTTTTTAAGTTTCCTCTATCCTGTCTGATTTCTCAAGATGTTGCTTGAATGTGTCCACCGTTTTCTTCCATCACAATATTATCTTTTTTGCAAAGTGTAGCAGTCAAAGAGGAACACTTTAATTTCAGTTTCATTGAAATAACAGAAAATGAATGTTTTCAATTATAATTAGTCTATTGATGCATTTACACAATATTCAATATTTCTGTTTCAGTTGCTTTTGGAGTAATAGCTACTTCCTTTCTACATAGAATTTTAGCCTACAGGAGTCATGCTACCGTAAAATGACACTTTAATCTTAATGTCATCATATGGTCTTTATCTTTTGCTCTGAGACTAATGTACACAGTTTTGACAAAAAAACACTTCCCTCCCAGCATGCCTGTTCCCTTCCTGAATTGGAAAATGGCTGGATATTTTGATGGTGTCCATAATTCATTGTAATTGCTTTAACAGATGAATGTGATACCTTCAGGCCATATGTGAATTATGCACAAGGATGCAGCAAACTTGTAGAGGTCAGTAATTACTCCTCTGATGACTTGACTGAATCCTTTTGTTTTCATGACATCACAAAAGCAGCAGTCTTTTTGAGGTCCCATGACATAATCATGTAGGTCTATTTACTGTTTAATCTTAGTGTGTAATGATTTTATTTAGAGAAAGTTAGTTCACATTAGAAAAAAAAAGATTTTCCCATTGTTCTGACTGATTTAGCAAAACAAAACTTTTAATCATCTTAACTGGCCTGAAATACTAAAGGTTTAGCAACATGTATATACAGGCAATGATGAAAAAAAAAAATATTTGTTTATTTGAAATTAAAAACAAACTTACTGAGATTACAGGTATCATCCTTCAACTGTATATCTGTTTGCTGTTTTGTTTTTATCCCTTTTTTTTCTTATTGTCAAATGAAAAAGAGCTACTCACTTCATTATTAAGCAAAACATTCTGAAATAAAACCTTAATAACAGTCCACAGTTCTTGATTATTTACTAAGGGTTACTCTTCAAAAGATGATATTAACTTATATTAAAAATAGTTTACTGATGTGGGATTACACGAAAAAACATTTTCTGCAAGTTTTCTATTGTATAGGAGCTAGTACTGTACCTTTTGGAAAGAACATGGTTAATATTGTTATTGTATCAAGTTCTAGTCAGCTCAAATGCTCAAAAATATCTCTTAGTCCGTAATCACGTCAAATTATTGACCTTAATTCATAGTTCATAAATTTAATAGATCAAACTGAATGCCTTGTTTTATTTATTTGAATCAGAAGCTAAGTAAGTAAAATGTGAGAGGTTGACCAGCAGCACAATAAAAAAAAAAAATTTACTAGTTTTCTATAGTGATGTAGAGATGTGCAACGGGCCATCTCCTGATTTTAAGACTTATCGTAACGTGGAATTCACATCAGGTTATTTATTGAAAACCAGAGGCATACTTCATTCAATGATCTATGAGGCAATACAATAATAAATATTTTTATTTCTGCTTTATAACTGACTTCAAACACCCCCTCCTTTTATTTTGGGTAACCACTGTTTCATTATTAAGTCTCCCAAATACAATGCACATCCCATTTAAGACCCTGCAGATAAACATGTGCACTTGCAGCTGTAGGATTTCTGCTGATGAGCATTGTTTTCCTGTTCTTTGTTTCCTCCCTGGAGGATACTGCCCTAATCCATATCTCGATGAGTCAGCCCCACTGGATTACAAGCATTACTGTTTTACTTAGCCTCTGCCAATGTGACAATTTCGCCCACACTAAAACATTGCGTGATCACTGCAGGATTACCATGATTCTATCAATCAGAAAGGAAACATCTCTCAATAAATATATCAAGCAATCACCCCAATTCTAATTTTAAATAGATTATTTTAGAAGATTTTAATCAGTTTTTTTTTTTCATAATTCCAGAGTGTCACAAAGTTATTTTACAGTTTATCTTTAGATCTTAAACTACAGCCTTGAAATCCTGGACTTAACCTATCTGCACAAGTGCTCTAGAAAACTGCTATAACCAAACAGGAAAAAAGCTCTACTGTTGTCTACTACAGACACAAACTATGTATAGAATTTAAACAAATGGTTTTATGGTTGAAAAGGATCTTCTTAACTGAGTATATAGTTTTATTTCTAAGACATGGAATTTTGTTAAAGAGACATATGCATACATGCAACAAAAAAAAAAGAAAAAAAGAGAATGAACTAGTCTTTGTTCACTTATTTCTCGTGGAAATATAAAATCACTCCAGAGAAGTCACGCTAAAGAATGATTCCAATTGAGACTGCATGGCCAGTGTTTGAGTTAATGGTGGGAAATCAAGCCTGTCATTTCCAATAAACTGCTTGTCTAAACAGACCTCTCTAAAGTCAGAGACATAATGAGTTCCACTGAGACCCCTGCCACAGCTGCATTCTGCTGTGTGCTAATATAACATAGACCAGTGTCACATAGGTGTACTATGTACCATTCATCTGACCATTTATTGTGTTCTCTTAAAGAAACAGTTGGGGTTAATGAGGTGGATGTAATTGTATGTAATATTCAATGATGGTGGCTCTCTGGTCTCTGCAATATACATATACTGCCTAATCATTACTGGGGGCCATAGGCGGATCTACTGGGGTGGCATAGGGTGGCAAATGCCACCCTAAATGACAGCCTTGCCACCCCTGCTGCCACCCCAGTTGGCGGTAGGGGTGGCGAGGCTTATAAATTATGGATCATTTGAGAATTACGACCGCTAATTTCCAATGTCGGACTGCAGTGAATGCAGCACGAAATGACGCGAGAGCGACTGAGACTGATTGTTTTGAAAACCGAATGGGGCAAAGCGAGGGAGCCAGGGGTGATGGGGAGAGGAGACACGGGATGAAACAGGTAAAAACTGATTAACTATCTATCGAGAAATGAAATCATAATGAAAGCACAGTGTTGCTAGCATAGCTGCAGTGCTGATTTTGAGATGATAAAAATCAGGTTGCAGAACGTTATCAGGCTCATAAAGACATATTTGCGGTCAACTATGACAGAAAAGAGACGATCAAGTTTGGTTGTACTCAAATCAAAACGCACAAAGGCATTGGATCTAAATAAAGTTGTGAAGCGCCTTGCTGAGCAACATGGAAATCGCTGCATTCAGCTGTTATAGTCATGTTAACTTTATGTCATGCTCTCTGGTGAGCCTTTACAGAGCTGTTACATTTTGTTTTGGCACCTGAGAAAATCTGATATTTCCTTTAATAAAACCAGAAGTGTTAAAAGTTAAAAATGTGATACTGGTGTGAATCCTGCTTAATATGAAGCAGTGTTGTTGTTTCTTTTGTGTATATTTAGTATGAAATTATCCAGAAATGACCCGTATGAACCTACTCACAAGCAAAATGTATTTTTATGTTGCTTCTTTTCAGATTTGTGGAGATTTTGATGTAACATACAGAACCCGCCTTTTTGTTGATTTGTTGATACAGCAGTATGGAGGACCAACTCTGCCATATTTAAAAATAAATACAGAAATAAATAAATGCTTAATAAATAAATAAGCATACAATTAATTGCCACCAAAAATACAAACAACAAATAAATGTAAGTAGAAATTAAATTATACAGCTAGTCATAAAGGTATATAACTCTTTTAATTGGCTTCTTTATTTCTTTGCCTTTTTAATATTTACCTTATTTATTTTTTTTGTCATTTATTATCTTCAACTTCATTTTTTAATTACTTATATTTTTAAGTATTTATTTAAGTGCATGTTATCATATTTTTGTCTGTTTTATTCTTCCTTTGTATTTTTTTACCCTAGTTATTTCTTCGCCGCTATTTCTTTCTGCCTGCCCTTTTAACATTTCTGCCTGCCATTATAATATAATTTCTAATTACATTTATTTGTTGATTGTATTTTTGGTGGCAATTAATTGTATGCTTATTTATTTATAGAGCATTTATTTATTTCTGTATTTATTTTTAAATATGGCGGAGTTGGTCCTCCATATGCAGCTCTATCAACAGCATATTTACATGCATGAAATGTCCCTTTCATGTTGCCGTAACTGCTGTATGTCAAGTTACTGAGGAACAAATGGGGTAAATGTGTGTTCAGAGTAACCAATACATAGATGTCTGGTACCTTGTTCGGGTGCCTTGACCCATTTATTTCTACTGTGTAGTTCTGCTCAATTTATTCCAGCTCAGTCCATAGATCTCTGATGGGTAACATTTTTTTTCTATCGTTTCTTCTTGTGCAAATGCTGC